AAAACTGCAAAAATATGAAACAAAATACAGTATGAAGGGAGAGAACACTAACCTTGCTCGACGCGACTTCTGGCGTGGAGGACAGGAAGGCGGTTGGGGAGGCGGTTATTGCTTGGAGGGAGAGTCCCCCTCCCTACAGGAAGCCGCGACCACGTGTCACGGCAGGGAAAAGGGCCGTGGATCCTGTGCGTCCCCCGATCCGGCGTTCGCGAATGGAGGCAAAATTTTGCAACCGGAGCTGTTCGTGAACTGAATTGTTCGTGAACAGAAGCGTTCGTGAACCGAGGTACCACTGTATATCATTGATATAAGAGAGCTAATTTGGTGTAGTGGATAAGGTGCCAAGCTAGAAGCCGGGAGATCATGAGTTCTTGTCCCACCTTGGGCACAAAGCCAGCTGACTGACCTTGGGCCAGTCACTCTCTCAGAGCCCTAGGAAGGAGGCAATGGCAAATCACTTCTGAAATCTTGCTAAGAAAACTGCAGGGATTTGTCAAGGCAATCATCAGGAGTCAACACTGACTCAAAAGGCACATACACAAAAGTCTATTATCCAATATCTCAGTAAGTAAGTGGCTTTATCAGATCTTAAAGGAAGTAGATGAATTGCAAAATAACATAAAGCTATGTTATCTTTATTCAGATATCTAAATATCAGATAACAAAAAGATTGTTTGAGATACTTGGCATTTTTAGGCATCTGCCAGGCTGTCACTGTTCTCGAGTCTTTTTTCTGACCTGTCAATCCAAGCAGTAACCAAAAGGCTGATTTCAGCCACTTTTTTTTGTTTTTTCAGTGCCCTGATCTAGGTTTTCTTTGTGGCCATGCAGCAAATTAAAAGGGGTCCATCTAGCACCACATGGAGTGGCATCAGGAGCCAAAAAACCCCCTCTGAACTAGATGACAAAAATGGAATCCACCAAAGAACGTCTTGGCTTGGGCTCCTTCAAATGCATAGCAGCTCTGAGAACAATTCGTTTTGTAAACCATTTACACATTTGATGTTTTAATTGTATGGGCTTTGTTTTTCAATTACAGTGGCGATGGATGTACCACTGGTAGACCTAAAGAACGTCTCTATGTGGTTGTTAAGAGTAGACACCAACTTGATGGCACATAATCAAATTAATCAATGGCCTTTGTTGTTATTTTCTACATTTTCAGAGGGTTGGATCTAATTATGGCATCCACAAGAGTAGCGATGGACGATCTGTGGTTCCAATTAAGTCCTTTCACCCCTCTGCCGTTTTCTAAATTTCCACCGCTGAGGTTGCAGCAAAACTCCAAGTTTTAGCAGTACAGTATTTACATCTTTTTATGTGTACAAATTTAAATATAGCGTGTTGAACCTCTCCTAGATATAATGCACTTATTTAGCCTTATCTCCCCCAACATTAAAATATCACTCCATGCAACTCCTCCAACAATCTCCCAGAAACCATCACGGGTCTGATTTTTCTTTTATGTGTCTCCCAGATGCCCAAAGGTTGCCACTGAAACATATGCTGCTGATGGATCTTCCTCCTGCAGCCCCTTTGCCCTCTCCCTCCCTAGATCTGGGGTCTTGAGGGGGAAGGAAAGGAAGTAAATTCCCACTAGATGAGCATAAGCACATTTGCATAATATGGAATTTTGTAAAACAAATAGAATTCATGTATTCTTAAAAAAGAAAGACTATGAACAACAGCTAAAGAATCTGGGAGTATATAACCCACAGAAAAGATGATTGAGGGCAGATACAATAGCAGTCTTCAACACATGGAATCACAGGATCTGATGTTTTGCTCTATGTGAATATGACATCACAATGCATGTACAAAAAGGGAGGAGCTTGCATCACAATGGTGCAATACTGCTTTCATCATTTGCCCCCCACCCCTCTAGTCTTCAAATATCTGAAAGTTTTCACAGGGAAGAAAGAATGGATTTGGTGTCGGTTTCCCCAGAGGGCAGGACCAAAACCAATGGGTTAAAATTATAAGGAAAGAAGTTCAGGGTATATGTCAGGAGGAATTTTCTGGTCCTATGAGCTGTCAATAGAATAGGCTGGCCCGTGAAGTGGTGAGTTCTCCTTTGCTGGAAGTCTTCAGATGGAGTCTGGATGGTCCACTGTCCAAGATAATCTAATGCAGCGTTTCTCAACCTTGGGAACTTTAAGATGTGTGGACTTCAACTCCCGGAATCCCAATTCTATGGTTCTAATTGAATTGATCTGCAAAGAAACTTCGTGACTGGAGTTTCCTTTTCCTTGCCCAGCTATTTAAGAAAATGGGTGTGGGTTACTTTAGCCTCCAAGAAACCACCAGCGGCATTTGGATTTAAAGGTGGCAACTGCAAAGGAAAGGGTTGTATACGTAAAACCAATCCTTTTTGTTTGACCCAGCGTAACTCAAAACGCCAGGCACACTCCTTTAACTGAAAGGAACTGTATACATTCCAAAGCAAACTTAGTAGTTTAAATCAGCTTTCAGAGTCACATTCACTCAAAACACAAAGAAGAAAGAAAAATATATTCTGTGGCACTGGTTTTGGGAATACTTAAAAAAGAAAACCAGGTAATTCAGGAACCAAAACATTCTATCTGATGGAATGTAGATTAGCTATAAAAATATGTATATTTAAAGGAGGGTAGTTTGTATCCGTGAAACTGTCTGTAGAACTAAATAGAAAGTGACTTAAAGGGTAAGAACAACATCCCAAATTTATAGAGATTTACAACGAAGAGATAGAATTTTATATATACAAACTAGAACAATAAGTAAGTGCAAAATAGTGAAAGTAATCTCTAAAAAAATGGACAATCTAAAACATTCAAATCTTTACTTACTAGCAGAATATACTTTGGAAATCAACCTGACATTAATTTCCTTTGAAAATTTCTTTATAGGTAGGAAAAAGAGCCCACCCACCCCCTAACCAATGTGTGATCTTAGTATTTAGTTGTAGGTTTTTTATATGTGCTTATATCTAAGCACAGGACAAGACCTATTTTTCCTATGATCTTCTGTAGAAACAAAGCACCTTCATCTTCTACTCTAGGATATCAAAGAATACAAATCCTTGAAAAGAATGAGCCATATAAATAATAGAGGGGTGGAGAATGGGTTTTTCCCCCCCCTTATACTGAGTAAATAGACAAACTAGATGCTTTACAACTGAATTCACACATAATGCTAAACCAGATTTTTTTAAAACCAAGTTTTGCTGAACCTGAACAAACCACAGATGTTTTCTGGAATCTTTAGAAAAAGAACATAAAATGAACATGAATATCAGCAAATCAGTAAATAATCATGATAGGCAGGTTCATACATTATTTTGTGAAAACCTCAAATACATTATGGCTTTTTGTGTGAACCAGCCTGCAGAATCTATGACCTTTGACACAGAGAAAACTTATGAGTCAGACTTTATATAAGAAGATAAACATAAATTATACACAAGAAATAACTACCTCTGCTTGTTTTTGCTTTTTTCCCCCCAACATAAACAAGAAACGCAAATATAGAAAAGGCCCTTTGCTATATCCTAACACGGGATAGACAACTGGTGTCCTCCAGCTGTTTTAAACATCTGTTTTCATAAACTCTCACCAGCCTGGTCAATAGCAATGGACTGTGGAAGTTTTAGTCCGAGGCATATGGAGGACATATAGGTTGCTTGCTTCTGCCCTACGGGCCCAGACTAAATCATAAAATAAGTGGTGTAGACTATTTACCCAACAAAGAAGTGCAAAAATGGTAAAAAGTATAAAACAGAGTGGTTACTCCTTGAGATTTTACAGTGATCAGTCTGCTTAGGGCCTGAAAAAAACGAATACTTTTATTTCTAGATTGTGAGGAACAAATTAAAATATGGTAACCCAGTTTTTCTAGATGTCTTGAATGTCAGTTATCACAACTCCAGTCATTGTGGGTTTTGGCCATACTAGCGGGGTGTCAATGGAGTTGATCCATTCAGGCGTATTCCAGATTGGGGAGTCCTGCCCGAATCTGTAACACCAACACTGCCATTTTTTAAACTGGGGTCATCAAGCCCCTTGCTCAGAAACTAGCCTGTGAACTGGAACTGTGAAGAATTCAGCTAAAGATGCATAGGCGTCCTTCTGTACTAATACACTTTTTTCCATGTAAAACCATTGTACGGGGAAAAAGCTGCAGAAAGAACTCAATACATTCCACTCTGTGCCATACCTTTGGGTTAGGATGACGGCTAACAATAAGGCTAACTGGGCCTGGACCACATTCACTCAAGATGGCATAAGCTTCACTCAGTGCTGCATGACGCAAACTGACCGAATCTGCTTCCAGGATCTGATCACCACGGCTAAAGAAAGGAGGACATCTACTTTAATGGTGTTACTGTGCAGGCAGGATGCAGGGAAGAGAGAGACACCTCATCACAAAACAAACAATTCCAAATTAACTATAATTTGTAGACAAATTATTACAATATGTAGACAAATTTTTACAATATGTAGACAAATTGTACACAAAGAAGACAGTTACAAATTAACTATAAACCCCAGTTTAACCTCTTGAACATAAGAGCCTGGAGGAAAAAGAAACCAAGCTCTGAAGATCCAATCAGGAGCAGGAGAATCCCCTTTCAGGTGGGCTCTTCTCAGCATGGGGCAAGCCCCAATCCTTTGAGATCTGGGTTGGAACCCTCAAACTTGCATAACTAGCTAGGAATCATTGGAGCTGTGAAAATGCAAAAACTTGTGAATAAATACTTGTTTACAACTTCACAATACTTGTGAATAACTTTGCTTCATAGGCTGATCTGAGCTGTTGGGATCTGGAGTTGTGTCTGTGTGATCCTGGCTAAGGGAACAACCAGCTCCCTCATCCAAATTAGATGTTCTGTTCTTCTTTGCTTCGCTTTCTCTTTTAGTTCTCTTTTGACTCTGTTTAGCTCCTCAACTCTGTTTAGCTCCTCTATCTATCTATCTATCTATCTATCTATCTATCTATCTATCTATCTATCTATCTATCTATCTATCTCATCTTCATTTCCAAAGCATTCTACCTTTAGTGCACTCTTCCTGCTTGGCTACATTACTAAGAGAGGCAGAAAACATTTGCCACTTTCCTCCTTGTGAGTAAGCCAGGAAAGAACTAGATTCTACTCCCCCCCTCCCCCACATTAAAGTAGATGGTAGGAGCATACTGAGTAGCATCTCCTCAGGAGTGTGGGAAACTGCAGTAGAGATTTGGGGGTGGGGGGGGAAGCTTAGGGTCCTCTGCTCAAAGGAGCCATAGGGGCCAACCTACCACATCCATGTTGCAACTAATGCAAGGGATCATTAGGATTTTTATACGGAGAAGAACACATGTTACAACCAAGTTTAGAAAATGCTGCTTTAATCTAAAGTAGTAAAGGTCATGTAGCACAAAACAGCTGATCTTGATTAGTCTGCAGCTCTACAATTTTAAGCAGGCATTTCCCAAACACACACACAGACGTTTTCTTTGCAATTTAGCATGAGACCAGTATGGATAGATCAAACTATATTCTGACTGTGGCAGTTCCATATATTATCACTTTTTATTTCCTCCCAACCTGTTTTTGTAATTATTTAAATGAATGTTCTACACATATTATATAGTAAAATCTGTAATTTTTTAATGTATTTTGGTACAACCTCCAAACTGTATCATAAAAACATAGGACGGTATTTCCACTCCAATCTGTATTCCATTCATATGGGAAATACAGATGAAGAAATATGGACTAAAAACATTAAGTCATTAATTAGGGATAATATTGAATGTTGACCAAGGATTGCAAATAGTCAGATTCATATCTCAATCAGCCATAAAGTTTACTATAGAAGCCTAGTCCAATCGCTACTTCTCTGCCTACCTTCTCACAGGAAGGCTATGAGAGTAAAATGCCTTGAGATTGTTGAAGAAAACTGGATATAGATGTAATTTAATAAAACACAAATGAATATCCAAGCCTTCAGTTTAACATGAAACCTGCTTCCTATTCCTTCCAAACACCATCATCCCAACTCAAGTTGGTGGGAATAGTTATGGCACCGTAACTATGCAAATGCTCCTTTGGGATTCCATCACTGTAGTCCTTTCAAAAGGGGTTTGGGGTTGTACAATTGATGATTTGCATTTTTGTTGCTGGGTTTTTGATATTTCCATTGTAGTCTCTTATGGTCACTTTTTAATTCAATTATTATTATAGTAAGGCATCTCAGTGTTTCTTCTGATGAAAGCCTGGAAGTGAGTTTAATAACAACAAACTGTATCAATAATTTGGGTTCTCCTTTTTTCCTTCAGTGAGTTTATTGATGCTTAAGATTCTAAGCTCAGAGATCCATCTTGGAGATTTACCAAGAGAAAAGAAATGAGGAGAAGCCATGTCCATTTCCTCCTTGATACAAGGACTAGAAATCCCAGCAGCATCAATATGTTTTAAGGGAACAGTCTGTAAAATATTAAAATCAGTTTCTTTACCTCTTTATAGTTTTGCATTATACAGACATCTGGAAACATTCAGGTTCAGGACCACTACCTTAGATGATCACTAAAACTTTTTCCATAGCTGCCAAAACTCAGGTTCTAAAGATTCTGATATTATCTATCTATCCAAAAAATAAAATAAATGAATCTGACCTGAGTTTTCCAGGACTCACAGAAGTGATGTATATCTGGTCTAAAATCGTTCAGCAGTTAAGTAGCCTGTTTATTTTGTAGGACTGTGATGTTTAACTTAAGGGTGCAGAAACTGTGGCCCCAAGGCCAGAAAGAGGTCTATAAAACTTTGGATGTAGCACCCAATGTCCCTCCCAAGTTAATAATACAGGTGGTCCTCATTTAACAATCACTTATTCAGTGACTGTTTGAACTTATGACGGTGCTGAACAAATGGTAGTTACAACTGGTCCTCATGCTTACAGCCGGCACAGCATCCCGTGGTCACATGATCATGATTTACAACTTTCCCTGCCGACTTCCCACAAGCAAAGTCAATGGGGAAGCTGGCAGGAAGTCACAAGCTGCAGTCATGTGAAGTCCTTGCTTAATGACCCACATGGTCCTTGCTTAATGACAGCAACTGGGACTGCCAGAACTGCTATTGCTAAGTGGCACAGTCATGTGGTTTTACAACAGAGTTTCTGGTCCCAGTTAGCGTTGTTAAGCGAGGACTATCTGTAATAATAATTTATTAAATTTATGTGCCACCCAGCTCCCAGCGACAAGTTGTTGCTGTATTGTGTCTTAATATGACACAAAAAGAAACAAAAAGACAAAAGTATGAAGTGCCTAGAGACATCCAGAACTGCCATGACCATAGTTACGGCCAAGCATACAGCGTCTTGGACTGCCACAAACTATAGGAAGCGCATTTCTTAAGGGTTCAGAAATATGGTCTGGATTTGCTGCGGCGTTTTGAACATAATAGGAATCTCACTGCAAGTTCTTCCTACCATTGTGTCAGCCCCACAAGGTAGACCAGACCAGGAAATCAACTCCACAGGAAGGCTACAGCTACTTTTATTGAGACTGACTCTAATAACAGAATCTTGCAAGTCTAATTGTGCTGTATCTCCTCCTCCTTCTTATAGTTCAGTGAATCAGAGAGGCATCTGCTGGAGCTGCTTCCAAATGTTACCTTGTAGTTCTGAACTTAAAATACGTTTCAGCCCCTTTTCCTAGGTACCGGTTCTTGCATATCTCCTCAAGATCATCTTCCTTAGTCTCTACACCCTGCCAGATAAGGGTTGAAAAGAGAAAGTGGCAGCAAATAGGTTTGGAGAAGCCTCTAGATCATGTTGTGCTCCAAGGCATAGGAGGAGGTACCCTACCTATTAATCCTATGTTCAGCAGAAGCAGGAGGGGTGGGGGCTTTCACCCAGAAAAATTGCTATGGAAGTTCTACCCTACTGGCTATTGCTCTAGTATCTGCCATTGGTGCCATGGCAGTGCAGGTGAGGCAGTGGGGGGAGAGGGGGGAGAAATCCAAGGTGTGTCAAGTGCCCCAATTGCCCTTACAATGAATGGGCATGCCCATTGCACTGAAAACAACAGTGCAGGTACAGATAGAACTTTATCTAATTAAGTATCTTCTTTCTTCTGGACACACAGGACCTTTGTTCCCGCTGTTCTACTGTTCTCTGCTTTTCACGTCATAAGCTACCCAGAGTCTTGTGGAGCTGGGTGACCTCTAAATTGAATGAATGAATGATATGGTGGGAGAAAACCTTTAAAAAACAGTTCAGGACTAACCTTAACCTTCCATCCATCTTAGCAACGGATCCTGGAGCCAAGCTGTGAATATATATACCTGGAAGGCTGTTCTCCAAGGTGAGGCAGCAAGCCCCAATGCCCAGGCCAACCCCAGGTTCTGTGATGAAATGAAAACAAAGTTGAGAGTAGTTTAACACATTGTTCACTGGAATAGCCACAAGGGATAAAAGTACTTCTTGAGAATTGTTCTTTGTAGGAACCTATAAAAGTATCTGAAAGACGGGACTTCCATAGCATGCATAGATCTTGAATTGGCCACTAAGAGCCTTTGAACCAGATCTTGGTCACCCACTGCACTCCTGGATCAAGAGAGGTTCTTTCCTTCCACAAAGGCTTTGAAGAATGACTTCAAGCACTGAGAAGACTATGTTCCTCTCTGTTGCTGTATTTCTTCATTTGGCTTTGCCTCCTCCCCCTCATCTCACTCATCCCTCAAATCAAGACAGCTTGATGGAAGCTGATGGGAAGTGAAACAAATTCACAAAAAACATTTGATTTTGTGGTGATTCCTGTTGTCAGCCCACCCCAAATGTAGTTATGCCCAAAGGCTAAATGTAATAAAAGAAGCCATTACAAACACTTCGCTTGTTTATTCCCTATATGAAATGTACTATTCTTATTCTCGGACTTGAAATAATGATGAAATATCTTTCCAGGGTCAAACTGTAAATTCTTCCAGTGAAAATTCTTTGCAAAAGCTGGCTAGGATTATATGGATATGTATTATAAATTTAAACCAGATTTAACCTGTTTTTCTACTCAACACTTGTTGATTAGTCTGATTTGTTCTTTCTGTTGTTTTTAATCAGAGCACCTTCCCCTCTTCCAGTCACAATGTTAATAAAAGATAACAATTTGGTTAATACAGTTTGAAAGACTTGAAAGGACAGTGGAACCCATGGGAAGAACTCAGAGGGGAAAAGAAGAAGGGAACAGGTTGAAAAACAATGATAAGATAGCAAACCGAGATAAATACATTAAATTCTTTTAAATCTGAAAAGGATATGGAAGCCATTCTGAAGTGATTTTAAGGAGCAGGCACCTCATTTCAGTGGAGACAGGGAGGCTCCTTTTTTGCCTCTCTCAGTTACCCCATCATGATCCACTTTGAGCTTATTTGTAATGAAAAATGAAGAAAATATTGGCCTTTAGGGCTTCCAGTGGTGGAAGAGGGTTGAAATCCAGCTGATCCAGGAAAGTAGCTGTAAGAGGATGTCTTTCCTGTCCCCATCCTCCAACTCCCCATTATATCCCTGGTGCTTTTTATTTATCAAAATTTTAAAATTTATATGCCTCCCCCCATTCCCCTAATGACTCCAGATTTACAAGCAGAAATAAAAACACCCAGTTAAAATAAAAACCATCAAAACCCCTAGGAAAATAAATATGGCTTCAGCCATGGTTCATCTTTTCTGGGCTAGGCTGGGAAGTAAAATAAATAAATAAATAAAACCCAAATCCCAGAAAGCAAACCACTCCTGGAACACTGCCAGGAAAACTTGAGGACATCTGTGCCTTTTTAAATAAATATGCTCTGAGCCTCCTTTTAAACTGTAATGATGGGGAAGCTTGTTTCAACTTCAGTGGCAATTTATTCCATGACTAGCTGATTTCAAAAAACTAAACTGGGTTGGACCTGGTTAACCCTTGGATGAGAGCCATCAAGAAATCCCAGGGAAATTGAAAAAACACTGCAAGAGGCAAAGGCAAGCCACATTCATAACACTGCCAAGACAACTGCATGGATACATCCATAAAATCACAAAGGGTCCAGTTCAACTTGAAGGAGATTTTACATTTTTAGGGTTCCCATCTCAGGAAAGCTATCACAGGTCTTGCAAAGGACCTTCAGAGTTAGAAATAATTGCATACTGAATGAACTGGCTACCACAGTTCCTCCTGGTGTCACAATATTTCTTGAATTGGCGTCTATCCTATCCAACAGGAAGAAATCCCATGTGCTTCATTCTCAGTGTGGTTAGACAAATACTTCCAGTGGTGTGCTAAGTCTACTCATGCGGAGTTTTTGTCATATTATCAGCTTGTATATGACTATTTTAATGTTTTGCATGGGGCAGCCAGGAGACAGTACATGATTTTTTTTAAAACATATAATGTTGGAAATTTCCCATCCACAAACAGGAATAAAAAATTTCATTGGAATTTCAGCAAAACCGACTTGCTCTTGTAGACAGTTTCCCGTACTCCCAAAGCATTTTTTCCCATCTTGGTTCCTTCTAGACATGTTAAACAAAATTTTTTATCACTAACCACCCCCAGCTCAGATTTACAGGAGTTACAGTCCAACATTTATTAAAACCTTATTATTGTTTCTATTTTCCCCCTTCTAAGATCTTGCTTAGGAGGTTTCTCTGACTTGCCACAACACTTCAGGCCATGGTTATTTTCGCCAGAGTAGTAACAGTCACATTTCCTCCAACCTTTATTTAGAGTCACTTCCATGACGATTCTGTCCTTTGGTCCAGGTCCTTTACGACTAGAAGAAGAAGTATCTCCATCTTCACCATTGGGGAGTGAGGCTCCTCCGCTGGCATTGGAGCTTGGGGAACTGGATCGGCTCAGTAATGTAGGGGTCGGGCATGGTGTAAGGCTCGGGCTGCGGAGTCTGGTTCGTACTGTGAGAGTCACCACACCTTTTTTGAGTTGCTAGAGAAGCAACAAGATTGTTAGGTTTACGGTATCACTGCTTTTCCTTCAGCTCAAAAACTAAGACATGAATCACACATCTAGAACTTGGAGCTTGCCTGGAATCATTAAGTGGCACATCTTCTCTTGAATAAAAAGGATAGTCTTTTGGGAGCTGATCATTATATGGGGTCATTCTGTACAATTTGATCTAGAAGTCCTGTTGCCTATGTGTATACTATATTATGAACATATTCCTTTACTCACGCCTAAGATATGCACTATGCTCATAGAAACATGTAGATGCCAAAGCAAATTATTTTCCCTTGCATTGATATTGCTTTGTTCAGGACCCGAAGAGACCAACTCCAAAAAGATGCTGGAGAAACGACCTTTCTGAACCCAACTTTCCCCATCACTCAGTCACATGGCAATTTGTTTTTAAGATAGAACAATATAAAAAAGAAGTGAATACATACAACAGCTTTCCCCAACTGGATGCCATCCAGAGGTGTTGTACTATGACTTTCATTTTTTCCCAGCCAACAAGATCAGGCTGGTTCTGAACTTTGAGAGTTCTGAAGGACACCAATCTAGGGAAATTGGATATAGGGAATGCTATACTGACCACGTGGCAGATATGTTTGCATTATGAGTGGACTATAGGTTTTGCAGTCTTACTAAACCCCTTGGGCAGTCTAGTCTGCAATTCTGTTACCTACCTTGAATGTCTGTATAGCCTCCTGGTGGGTCAGCCCTTGTAATGATTCTCCATTAACTTCTAGAAGTTCATCTCCTGGAAACCGAAAACAAAATCCATTATCAGCATTTAGATGGGATGAAATGCTGTTTTTAGAAGTAGAAGGAATTCTAGTTGTTCTCATATTATTATAGTACAAGATATTTTATCTCTGTTTATGCTCAAATCTATTAAATTGAAAAAGTGCCACAAGTGTTACTTTGACCTGGAATTTTTGTTAGAACATTCAAAATTGGAAGCATTTTTGTAGTTTAGTTGATTTTGTACATTTGGAAAAATGTTTGGAACTTTGGAAGCCTAACAAGGAAAAATGCTTAGCAGTCATTTTTCTCCATTAACGGTAACGAAAAGAGAATGTGCAGGGATGGACAAGCCACAATACATGGGCCGCAAGCAAAACAGCTGAATTTTGTTGGATGAAGTCTCATCCAATTTCAGGATTCAGAATGATTTAAGGGTGGGAATGGGAGGCTGAGTTAAGGTTCCCACTCCTATCTAGACTTTGGGCAAAGACTTGTTCCTCACCAAATGTGGTATAGCACAAGCTATGGCTTCTGATTGTGGTTTGTTGCAAGGCAATCCCATTACATTACACAAATTATGCAAAGAGCTATCCCCCACTCTCCGTTGGCAAGAAAAATTCTGATTTATATTGCATAAAAACAGCAGTATTTCGGATTCTCTCCTCTGAAACATCTGAAATACTGGAAGGAAGTATCTGGAACAAAGGAAGGCATGGCTCCAAACAAAGCAGCTTCCATTCATCACTGCTCCTTCTTTTGCTCCTGGCAAGAATGGAAGGAGTAGCACCTTGATGACCAGGTTCTGCCAACTCACTACACAGCTTGGCCATGAGTTTCTTTTCTCCCACTTGCATGCAGGTAAATAGGTAGATAGGTAAATATGGGCTTGGAAAATGGTGGGGTTAGGCAGGGTCCTAGGCTAACAGAAATCTGTCCTTTGCAAACATACCTTCCTTCAACCTGCCATCAGCAGCCGCAGCCCCATTTGGAAATATTGTCTTTACAAAAATGCCCATACGACCCCGGGCAGAATCTTGTCCCCCGACGATGCTGAATCCAAGACCCTGTGGCATAAGTACAAATCAGAGCAGAGGGAGAGAAATACATACCCAATAAATTCCCAAATCACAAACAACAAGCATCTGATCAAGTAAACTTAAACTACATAAAAGCATGGCTCTGAAATAGTTCACTGCTTCTTATTTTTTAACCTAATCTCAAAGTAAAAAAAAAACAAAACAGTAGCCTTTAAGGTGTCTTGTTTGAATCAGCATTCATGCTTAAAACTTCGAGGCACAATTATCCATGTCCTATCTGGAATACTGCTGGACGTGTCTGTTCCTTTGACTTTGTCTAGTAAAAAGATGGGCAAGTGACAAAGACAAGACCTAACTGTCATTATTCAGCAGTGCTTTTGCATCCCCAGACTCTGGATCTGGTTTATTCATCTTTGTCTTAAAGAGTAAGAAAATTTTTTTTAAAAGGAAGGGAGAATATACTATCTCAGAGCAATGCTGCGTTCTAGAACAAACAAATGTATCTGCATGCTGTATTATTTCATCTAAGAGTTTGAAATGCAGCCTTGGCAAAATATCTTAAGATGTGGGCAGGTGCTAGGGGAAGAGCTGCTTTAAAGATAAATGTCAGCACCTTGAAAGGAGACCTGAAATGAATAGGCAACAGGTCCAATTAAAATTACAGTGATGTAGGCAAACTCCACGGAATCTGATAAAATGCTGGCAGCCAAATTCTGCACTGAAGTTTCTGACACTTCTTCAAAGTTAGCCCATGTATAACATTCCCAGTAATCGAACAAGGCAGCTACACAGCGTGAGCCACCTTGGTCAAATGATCCCTATCCAGGAATGGTCGCGTCTGGCCAACCAGACAAAACAGATGTGAGGCATTTTGTACTACTGAGGCTCCTTAATTTCTAATCACAAAGTGGGCCCTGCAATGTAAAAGAATCCTAAATGGGTTGAACAACACTTACACAGACCCAAAAATGTTCTATCATCAGTAATCGCATATTCTCAAGAATTGTGGATATCACTTTTTTATCCTACACCATACCAACTATTATGTGGTTCTCAATTCTGGAATAGCATTTATTTTGCTGTAATAGGTTTTAGAACAGCCCTATCCAACCTGGGTCCCCAGAAGAGGTCTTGGCTTACATTCCCAGACTTCCTACATAGACACACACATTTTAAAGTCCTTTCTAAACTATTCTTACCTTGCCCTGCCCCTTCATCAGAACAATATTGGAAATAATAGATGGCTGGGTAAGTCGCCAGGGATATTCAACCTGAGCTGCACTCAACGAACGGGTGGATTTCTTAACAATGTGGTATTCCTACAGAAATAAAACAATCATCATAATTGCAAAGGAACGAAAATGCATCTATCTCAGTTACAGGCTGCCTAACCATGATTTCCGGTTAGTAAATAGTTACTTGTTTTACATGTTAAGTGCTTAAATAAACCAATATAGAAGGACCAAAGAAAGCAGAGTAGAAAATAAACCAAAATAAGGACCAGAGTACATAAGGTAGCACCTTCTAACATTTTCTGCAATCAAGGTATTTTTTCATTCAAATGAAATAAACTTTCTACTATATACAAATAAGGCACCATGATAGCCTTCCTTGCATATGCATCACACCATTTCCTTTTTGATTCATGATTATGTTTTTTTAATTTTTGCTCCCTCCACGAAGCCCAATAGCTAAAATAAGAATTATTCGGCTGTAATATCTCAAATGAAGCCATATGTTTTTTCTCTTCCTCACCTGTCTGGTTCCTGTGTCCAAATGCTGTGGTAAGGAATGTTTTCTGCCTCCCCGGGAATATTTCATTGGTATTTCATAATTCACATCTCCATTTTCTACTGTCAACTCATCATCTTCTCCCACAGATTCTAAGCGAGTTGCTGCCCCTAAAGAATAACCCAGAGATACGATTTATTATACATACATCAAAGCCTCTTTTAAGATTGTCAGTTCTAATGGAATTTTGTATGTCCATTGAGAAATGATGGATGGATGCATTTCTTAAAATGTCTAAACAACTATAATACATTTTATCTTTGTGTGTGTGCACATGCATGCATGTGGATATGTGGGTAGGGGTAATTTATTAAGGAAATGACAGGTCACGCTTTATATCAAAATACTTATTTAATCACAAAGAAATAATGCGGTTGGCCAATTTAAAAAAGCAGAACTCTTATTTTGTATCTGAGTTCCAGGTAAAAAACGAAAAATAGTTTATGCATCCAAACCAATCAAATGCAGGTTCATACTTTTAAGGCCCCAAAAGGATGGACAGTGAGAAACTTTATGAATTACTTTCTCCTACACTTTCCATCCTGCACACTTCAATCAGCACCTAATAATCCAATTCTAAATCCCCCTAACAACCGGAGGATGGTGTGAAGATCAGAGACTTTCTTAATCACAGTCCTAAGATTGTTGAACATCTGCTTTGAAGAGGTTCACCTGATGCAGTCTTTAAGCTCTGCCAACATTGATTGGTTATTCCATCCCCAGCAAGGTCTGTTTTCCTGATGGCTCATTTTACACTGCTGCCATAACTATCTTTGTGTTTCATCTTTTTAAAGGCTTTGATCCTTCTCATTATAATCATTTTATTAAGACCTTATTTGAGATACTTCTTCTGAACTGGTAAAAAATTACAAATCCAGAGACCATAATACCTCAAATAACTAAAGGAGATGGAAACATGGCTAGGCAAGGACAAACCACAGTAGTAACTAGGACAAAAGTAACTATTTCGGTCCAGCTTTACTTTAACTTTAAAATCTAGCCTCAAAGATAAAGTAGAGGAAGTTGCTCTTTACAGGAAACAAAATGATACACCTATCTCAGTATGATCTAGCTCTAATTACCAGAAGCTTTTAAGAACTTCAGCAGAGGTATTTCCCATTGCTACTTTTCCTTTCTTCTTCCTCTGAACTCTTAAGGAGATATGCTGGTAAACCTAATCTCAACAGTCTTCCAAATCTTTCTACATTTCTTCATCCAATGAAAAAGAGTAACTATACCTTGAGATCGGCTCCTGTACTTCAAAATACCACCTCCAAGAGTTGGGCTCTGGCAGTTCTCTTTGGAGATCTCTTCACCTGTAGGATCTGAGGACCTGTCTGTATCAGTCATATGTGCCATCTGAAGGAGAAGGAAAAGGGATATTGTAAAAAATCCAGCCACGTTTGCTAGGTTGTGTCATCCTTTCCATAACTGAATTATTATCCCAAGGAAGCTACAAATGACGAGGCTCTCAAGCAGAATAGGACCTCTTGCTGCAGCTTATTTTCACTGAGATTTGTAATCAGGGAAAACATCTGCCAGCTTCTTCTCCGTGCCCTGCATTTTAGGACACAGGAATCAACTGAAAGACACAGAAGCTTCTTATTTTCTCTGATGGGAAAACTTCATAGTGAGAACTTCATCAACACAAAGAACGATCCATTTTTCTGAACTTTAAATTATTATGATACTCTATATCTTTCCTGCTTACTTTCTATCATTCTGTTTTAACAAAGAGGCATGGAAAATTATTTATATTCCTTACACACACACATAAATTGATTATTATTGTAAGCTGTTTTGAACATTGCAGATCAAAACTGAATGAATGAATGAAATCAAGGCAAATACTATCAAAACTGGCTTTCTCCCCAAGACAGAACATACCCCTCAACTTCCATTCATTGCTAAATCTTGATTTCATTCCCACCCCCGAGGGCTTAATTTTCTTTCCTCAACACACTGGATGACACCTCTAGGAGATGGAACAGTAAACTGCCAGAGGTGTGCAGTTTGTTGTTAAAGTCAATGTATGGTTTCAATAGCTTGGTGAAAGCATACTTTTTATGTTCATTCTATTCATTTTGCCAAAAGGATCCTAAGATGAAAAACTGATCCTGTAATATAAAGTAAAAAGGTATAATTTCTCTCAATTTTTCAGAGGGAAGAAAGAAATGAAGTCTGCATTTTCCTTTACAATAAATTACTTGTAGAACATTAAGTTTGGTATTAGGAGGATCTACAGCATAGAATGGATGGAAAGATAAAAATTGAGAGCCTATGGCAGAAAATAAACTATGCTCTATACATTAGAAAGCATTTTTTCCCAGTGTAAAGAACCAAATCTTGGCATAGGACACTGGAACTGGAGAAGATAGGTCCTTTTTGTTTTTTTCTCAAATATATGCCAATTTTCTGATTGAAATCACTCCCATTCCCAGGAAGATGCTGATAACATGGTAGCAGCAAGGGAGAAATGCCTGTGTTGTATGAAGAGTTGCAGGTCAGCAGCAAAATACATCCCTCACATACAAGCAATTAGACTTTTCATTCCTGGCATTTCCAGCTTTTGTGTGTGCGTGTGTGTGTGTGTGTGTATGCACGCACGCCTTTGAGTCACTGTTGGTTCCTGGTAACTTGCAGTTTTCTTGGCAAGATTTTTGGAAGTGGTTTGTCCTTGCTTCTTTCCCAATGCTGAGAGAGAGGGACTGGCCCAAGGTCACCCAGCTGGCTTTGTGCCTAAGGCGGGACTAGAACTCACGGTCTCCTGGCTTCTAGCCTGGTGCCTTAACCACTACACCAAACTAGACTAAGGAAAAAAAGAAAACCTGATGAGTAGCTATAGTGACCACAGCTTGGCAGCCTGAAGCCCTACAGCTTCCTAATTTTAAAAGTCCTCAGCAAATGATTAACACAGACTACTGGCAAGAGAGATCCGTCCCTTCCTAAGCAATTTCTGGGGGAGAAGGAAGAGAAAAAGAAAGGAAGCTCTCAGAAATAAAAAGAGAGCATAAAATAGGGGGTGTGAGTGGCTCCATCCACCTTGGACTCTGGCCCCCACTGAACACTTGCCTTCTGCAATAGTACGGCTACCTTATTATGGCTGCAAAATTCAGACAACCACTAGATGGTTAAATCTTTACTACCTATTACTACTTTAATAGTTGCCTAGTTTTTTGCAGCCCAGATATGGGAGAAAAGCTTAGAAAGCTACTCTTGAAGGAAAGTTGCCCTTGCCAGAAAAGACCATTGATCTACTTTGTAAACAACATAGTGTTGGCAGTACAGATGTGGAAAAATTCATTCAGCTCATCTTTAATTGCCATTTTATTTAATGTACACGTCTTGAATCAATGTATAAAACTGAAACACAGTTGTCCCTAGAAATCAATATTTTTCTGATTTTGGGAATGCCATTTGCCTGTTTAAAAAAGCACATATGGAAAGAACTTATGCCTAAATGGTGGAAACAATTTACAAAAATATATCAGGGGAAATTGGTGGAAAAAATGCATACATAAAAGCAAGTTTTAACAGAAATTCATATTCATTTTTTCAGGATTGCAGAAGACCAAAATGATGCAGACCCTGGCTTGCCTTGGAGAAATGAGAAATTAGGCAGAATCATAAATGATTTGTTCATTACTCTCTAACTGAACTAGAGGGACCAGAATAATATTAGAAATATTGGGGGGGGGGTGTTAAAATAAGTGCCTATTTTTCCCCACTGTCAGACAAGAACATACTTAACCTAGTCAGATCTCCTCAATGATGGTTAGTGCAATGGGTTTGGCAACACAAATTGTTCTACCTGCCTCAAATCACATCTGGGGACTATAAATCCCACCCCACATTCCTTTTTCCAGGAACTACCTAGGAGCTCGTGCAACTGATCATATACCCGGGGCGTACTGGCAACCCTTCCTGACATCATTGGTTTCCTGTTATTGGCCAGACAGGCACCAGTAGAAATAGCCTAGTCGGGTCAGCCAATCAGTACTGCCAAGTTCTCAGGATCCTGTTCAGCTAAGATGTTCTCTCCAGTTTTTTTTCTTGAAGGACTAACTATGAAAAAATTAAATGGGTTGCAGCTGAAGTGCTTCATCACACAATTCATTGGGGAGAGAGCAAGTGTAACTTTCTACATGACTGGGTCTGTTTGGGGTTAAATGTTTTGGGTTAAATAGGAGCTAGTGGACTGGGTCAGTTAACCCTTTCTGGCATTCCCATGCCACTCTAATCCTTAACTGACCCAGTTAAGTGTGTTGTGGGAACCCAGCCAAATAGTAGCTCTGGATGCAAAGGCTCCCTTATTCAGCATCTGTCTCTCAAGCCAAACTTTCTTTGCTTCTATTTTTTTCTTTTAAAAAAGACCCTGGGAAATCAACCCACAGATCTCTTGAAATATATTCAGAACCTTATCTTATAGGGGGAAACAATGCAAGGTCATCATATGAAGTATGATGAGATTTACTGACAAAATTATATTTTGGACAGTCTGAAGTGTAACCTAAACATACATATTAATAGTAGTGGTATTAACAAAAGACACATTAGGCATCAGATTACAGGCATATTATGATCTTTTAACTGGTACACCGATTATTTGCTCATTTCAGAGCTCTATAAAGAAAAAAAATGTACACCAAGAACTGAACACATAGTTTTGCTAGTGAAAAACAACAACAAAGGCTCAGGGAGAAGGTTTTCTCAATTTCCCCCACTTATGCCAAGAATGTATAGTATATTGTATACGCTGCAGCTTTTTTACTTTCCCCAAAATCCGAGATACCATTCTGTTCTGAAAATAAACAGAAATTCTACCCATTAAGCTTCTACAAGTTTCTCATGGGCCCCAGTTTGTAATTTTTGGCTGCCACAGTCCACTGAAAATACATGTTTTTTTCGCCTAGCCATAAGTGACCATAGTCTTTTTAACAAATTGCCCTTCTGCCAAGACACTAACCGTGCCATTGCAGCTAACTGACTTTCCAGGAAATGATGCTTATTCAGTTCTGAATGCATATTGCTAATTAAAAACATGATTTAAAAAAAAAATCAGGAAACTTGGCTGATTTTACTCTGTAGGCAAGAGTTTCCAAACACGTTTTCTGCTCACAAAGGGAAGTCCAAAAGGTTTAGCCTGGTACCTACAGTAGCTTGATATGGATGCTAGAATACTTCTCTTTTGTCTGATCTCAACTCCTCACACAAACACAGAAACACACACACACACTGTCTCTGTGAGATTTGAAAGGCATTTGCTGTGGTGACTTTATTCCACATCTCTCCAGTAGTTCTGCTATGTAAGGGGAGGAATGAGACCGTGAGCTGAAGAGTTTACCCATTTATCCTTGTGCAATGAAATTGATATAGAATATGTACATTGACCATATTTTCTTAGAAAAAACAAAGGACAAACCTGAAAAGGGGCAAATCTGGAAGAGGTTCATAAAGATAAAAAAGATTGTTTATGTTTATAACTTTGCTTTACAAAAGAAAATTCAAGAGCAAAACCAATAAACAATTAAATTAAATAAATCTAAAGGCCAGCTTTCTGAAACAAAGGACTGTCCTTTATGTAAAGGATGTATGGTTACTGTAAGGATATGACAGATTTGTATCATATTATATCTGATGCATAGGAAACGGATAGGGAAAAGCATGTTATAATTTTCCCATGATATTATACTCTGAGGTCACCCGAAGAAGCTGAACGTTCACAGATTCAGACTGGAGAGCTGCATCTTAATCCAAAGCATAGTTAAACTCTGGAATTTACTCTAAAATGATGTGGGGATAACCACAAACTTGGATGGCTTAAAAAGGAGTTACAGAAACTATGGAAAGAAGGACAATTGTTAGTTATAATTTATTTATAAATGCATTAACCAAATGTATAAGCCACCCATTTCGGCAGGGAAGAAAAAGTAAAGCATCGCCAGTTCTTTCCAAGCAGCAACATAGCTGAACCGTGCACCAAAGATTCAGGACTTCCCCAAGCTCCCTCTGGAAACCCACCAGTCCATCAGTCACCTGAAGCAGACCAATTAAATAGGTCTTTCCTTCCTGAGGTGGGAGCAGCTGCAGAGGACTCCAAGGCTAACAGGCAATGACAAGGGACAGATGACAATGTCTTCCAGCTCCAGATCATGTCGCCACTGCTCCAGCATAAAAAAAACAGATCCAGTGTGTGAGTCAGGACATCAATAGCCTAGATCAGGTTGGCTTGATCTCCCAAAGCCACCTCAGACTTCAGACCAAATAAGGGCAGTTTGGCCAACCATGATCTAGGACCATAAGCCTAGGGAATTCCACTGCCAACCTGGCCAAGGAGTCAAGAAACTCAACCAGGGAAA